TCTTCTCAATAGCTCTGAGTTCTTCTTTCATGGCTCCACACAATTTCGAATTACCCATGGCTTGACACAAGTCAACTGGTTCTGCCTCAGCCATCATCATGGCTTCTTAGATTAAATTACCATCTGCATAAACTATTTGATCTATAAATCTTTCATATCCAATTAGCCTTATCGACTTTGTTCTTGTTCTTATCGACCTTCTTTCATTCTACATAGGTGGTTCTTCATTTTGACTGGTTGAAGCATCATCATGTTCATTTTGCCTGGTTGAAGCTTCGTTATGTTCATCTTCTCCGAACACAATTGTGACTATATCTGATTCTTGTCGAACTGAACTTTGACTCCAGTCCCACCCTTTTCTTTTGTCTACAAGAAATTCTCGACTAATCACTAGTTTATCTTTGTTTGGAGAATACAACTTGTATGCATCAGTTGAATGATAACCTATGAGCACCATGACTTCACTTTGATCATCCAACTTATTTCTTAATTGTTCAGGTACATACCTTAAGCCTATTGATCCAAAAACTCTAAGATGACTCACATTTGGCTTAGACCCTGTCCAAGCCTCATGTGGTGTCTTTTTGACCATCTTCTTCATTGGGCTTCTATTTAGAATATATATTATTGTCGAAGTTGTTTCAGCCCATAATCTCTTAGGCATATCTTTAGCTTTCAACATACTTCTTGTCATGTTCAGTATACTTCTATTCTTTCTCTCAGCTATGCCATTATGCTGAGGTGTATAGGGTTAAATAACCTCATGCTTTATACCTTCCTCATTGCAAAATCTAGCAAATTCAACAGACGTATATTCATCACCACCATCAGTTCTTAACTTCTTCAATTTGTAGCCACTTTGTTTCTCAGCATGCAACTTGAACTTCTTGAACTGTGTGAATACCCCACTCTTCCTTTCAATAAAGTAAATCCACATATGTTTGGTGAATTCATCAATGAAAGTAAGGAAATACATATTACTTCCATTTGACTTTACTTCAAAAGGTCCATACACATCAGAATGAACCAGCTCCAGTTTTTGCTTTGATTTCACTGACAAGTTATATTTGAATACCTTCCTAGTCTGTCTTGCTTTGCAGTATTCCTTGCATACCTGCTTTGATTCCTTTACATACATAACCCAAACACCATTCTTTTTTGATTGAGCATGCATAAACTTCTGAAGTTTAGATGTCCATACATGTGTTGCCATATCCAGTTCTTGTCTTCTTCTGTAGTTGAAGCAAGACAATTGTGGTTTGATGTGTTGAGTTAAACTTTGAATGTTTTGTTCTCTGCCAATGGTTCTTTCATTATTAGCCTCCAATCAACCCTATATACCTTCATCTAATTCTTCTCCAGCTTCATATTGAAGCCTTTTGCAAGTAATTGACCTACGCTTTTCAAGTTACTTGTCATAGAAGGTACATACAACACTTCAGTGATAGTGGCTTTTCGACCATCCTTCCTGACAATCGAAATATCTTCTTTATCACCTGATTTGATGTGCCTACCATCTGCAGACTTAATCACCTTTTCGACTGACTCATCTAACTTGGTAAACCAGTTTTTATTGTTAGTCATGTGGTTGCTGCATCTTGAATCTAGATACCACATGTTATTTTTCTCAGTGTTCGACTGAGTATTCACCATCAACAACACGTCATCAGAATCAATATCTCCAACTCGTGCATATTGAGCTTTATCACTATCTTTCGCTCTTGCAGCTTTCTTTCTTCGACAGTCTCTAGCATAGTGATCAAAATCTTGACAATTGTAACATTGCACATCTTTTGTGTCAAATTTCTTCCCATAATACTTGTTTCCCACACCTTTCTTGATCGAATCAGTATTCTTGCTTAACTTCTCATCACTAGCAAGATTCATTCGCTGCTTTGACTTCTTTTTTCTAGCTTTCTTGTTGAATCTTGATTGTAATGCCTGTTCAGCCACCTTCTCTCTTTCTAAGTTTCTCTACTTCAACCTCATCTCATGAGCCTCTAATGAAGCTTGAAGTTCTTCCAACTTCATCTCAGATAGAGTCTTCGGCTCTTCAATTATCACAGCAATGTAGTCAAAATTTATAGTCAAAGATCTCAACACCTTTTCTATCTTCTGCAGGTCCGTTATTAATTGATCACATGCCTTCACTTGATTTGTTAGTGTCACAGTTCTTGAAAAATATGCAGCAATTGATTCATCTTCTTTCATCTGAAGCATTTCGTATTGCTTCCTTAGTGTCTGTAATTTCACCTTCTTCAATTTCTCATCTCCAACATACAAGTTCTTTAGATTTTCCCAAGCTCCTTTTGTTGTTTCTTCTTCAATTATCTTCTCAAATACATCAGAATCTACACCCTGATGAATCAAGAACAAGGCTTTACTGTCTTTCTTCCTTTGATTGTTGTGCGCAGTTTTTCGGGCTTCCGTCACATTTGCTTCCAGTTCTGATGCTTCATCATTCAAGATTTCAACAGCACCTTGAAATCTGAATATAACCTTCATCTGTGCAGCCCACCGCTGATAGTTTTTACCTTTGAAAATCGATAGATTCGTTGGAAACTGTGTTGACGTTGTTGTTCCATTTACCATTAGATTCTCTCTGAATCGCAACCGAGCTCTGTGATACCAATTTGTTGGAATAAAGGGTTTTCAAGAAAGATGATTTATGGAAGAGGAAGAAGAAGAAAGAGAGAGAGAGAGAGAGAGAGAGAGAGAGAGAGAGAGAGAGAGAGAGAGAGAGAGAGAGAGAGAGAGAGAGAGAGAGAGAGAGAGAGAGAGAGAGAGAGAGAGAGAGAGAGAGAGAGAGAGAGAGAGATTGAAAGTTTGTTATGATTCTAACTGAATTGTAATTGTATTGAATGTGTGTGTAAAATTACAAACTAACCAGCCGTTTATATAGGCATACAATGTCAAGGTCCAATACGACAATATTTGTTATAGCCCAAAACATGATTTCGACAATATTTCAATAGTTGTTGTATTTGACTCTGTCGAATACTGCTTACAACCTATATAACAAACTATTCCAACATTTTGACAGAACAAGAATTATAGCTTCTAACACTCCCCCCTAACCAAATTATAAGTGGTTTTGATATTTTAGAATTAAAAAAGATAATTAATTTTATATGAAAAACAGAAGTTTCTGATGATTTTGCAACACCCCTTTATATGAAAAAAAGAAGTTTTCGATGATTTTGAAAAAATATAGTTAAATATACAATACCCCTGCAATATAGGCGAAATTCGCTTTATCCTCTATAAATTTTTTTTTGAATCAGCCATTTGAAATGTAAAAATACTATATCTTTTGCTCCTTAAGTGTAAAGTTTATCCCCCTGTAATATTTATTTATTTATCCCCATATCTAGTATTTAATTTGTACGCTTAGGAGATAATTAAAAAAAAATTTATTACAGAAGGAATTAAAAAAAATATTACTGAGTAAGGCGAATTTCACCTATATTACAAATGGTAAAGTGATATTAACCCTTAAAAATATATACTTGCAATAGTTTGGTCCAAATACCATGGAATTTTGTAGTTCCAAAAGTTGAATGAGAGTATCTACAATTTGAGCAGTGCTTGGAACATGTTGAATTATTATTTTTTTGGCTATAACTCGTTCTCTCACAAAATATGTATCAAGTTCAATGTGTTTGGTTTATGCATAAATAATTGGATTGTGGGAGAGAAGTGTCGCACTCAAGGTGTAACATAAGAGTGTAGGTGATATGAAGCAAATATCAAGCTTATTTATACATGAATCTAACCACATCAGTTCTAAAATGGTGTGTGTCAAGGCTTGATACTTAACCTCTATGCTAGGCCTGGGCACAAGAGGCTGCTTCCTGAAACTCCATGAAACAAGGTTAGGCTCACAGTAAACGTAAGGCCTAAAATTTGATCATTTGGGTCACTTGTCCGATAATAGTCAATAGTGAATAGAGGCTTTCAAGGAAAACATGTGTGTTGAAGAAGAAAGGGATAGAAGCATGCCGTGTGACATGGTTCCACTAAGGTATCTCAGAATCTTTTTACTACATGCCAATGTTAGTCTAAAGGAGAAGACATAAACAAATAAGTCTTATTTACACTAAATACAATGTTTTGTCTAATTAGAGTGACATTATTGAAGAACACCAACCATAGACATATACAACTCAGGATCAAAGAAAGAAATGGAGCCATGTCTAGTTAGCTTGCAATTATTGAGCATATGAGTTGGCACACCATTGACATTACTCGGGTTAGCATGTTTTTGATGTATCTGGATTGTGTGAGTAACATGAAACAATTGTTCAAAAGTTTACTTTTATTCTCCAAGTATTTTAGTCTGCCTAACTTTTTCAGTTCAAATGTGACATAGAAATAGTGGATCAACATGTGAACTAGAGTTGATGAGGAATTCGTGATTAGTATGTCTTCTACAAACTCTGGAGTATAGAGAATGACGTCTTGATAATAATGAATGATCACACAAGCTATGAGAGAAACCAAACTGAATGAGTACTTCAGTGAATTTTTTAGAGCATACTCTAGAAGTTTGTTTGAATCCATAAATTGCTTTTATTTAGCTTACACACTAGAGTTTTATCTTGATGCACAAATTCAATCTCCTTTTTTTCTAAAATATAATTTGATGGTAGAAAATTTTAGAAAAATTGATTCTTACAGGCAAAAATGTGCGTTTAAATGGATGAATTTCCGCCACCAAAATGCATAATCCAAAAATCGAAAGAATTTAATAAAGGGAATCCAATTTAGAAGTTTCTACACACTTGTTCAAGCACCTACAGTGAAAATCACTAACAACAAGTTTCAGCATACACTAATTATTTACATTGCACAAACCTCAAATAGTCAAATTCACATTAAAAAGAAGAAAAAAAATTGTAAAATTCGTCAGAGGCTAAGTCAAATATGATGCTATAGAAAAAGAACACTAAAAATTAGTAGAGTAGGGCACAATTTCACACCAAACAAAATGGAAGCTAATGCGATTGATTTTGAATCCTCCTGTGTTGAGAAGAAACAAATGGAAGACTATGGAGGATCAGAAAACGAACCCGTCGAGGGATAGGGGCAGTACGGAACAACTGCTCCACCACCCTTGCCAACAACGCCGTGTACTCCTCCATCACCTCCGCCACGATCGCCACCAATATCATATTTATCGTTTTTCGTTCGGGTCGGGTTGAATGTGAATCCGGATAGGTTATTGTCAATTTGTGACTATGTTTGGGTCTTGAATTTTATTTATATTAAGGAGAGTGGGTGTGGGTGACCTGTGTAGCTGGTAATATTTGGCTGTTTAGTTGGAATATTTTAACAGCGGCGCCACCGTTATTGGAAACTCACGAACCGGTTTCCACGCTTTCATTCTGTGTGCTCTCTGTTTATTTTACTACTATGCTTCCCCATCCCATTCTCTTCCAAAACTTAATTTATTCATTCATATCCAAAACTTAATTAAAAAACTTATTGTTATTTATAAATTAATAATTTAAAAAAATAGAAAAGAGAAATTAAATAAAGTAGAAGATAGAAATTAATACAGAGTATTTGAAATAAATTTATTAATATTGCAATTGAATTGTGAGATGATTTATAATTTGAGATAGTTTTTTATAAAATATTTATAATTTAGGAAGAAAAGAGTAAAAAATTAAAAATTATTTAACATCATAATAAATCGTCCACCTTTTATTATTTATGAGTCGTTTTGACTTTCACAAGTATTAAGAAAATAATGATGGTTGTATAATAAATAGCAATTATAAAATATTTTAGAAAATTATCCTCTAATAATGGTATATGAAAGATAAGTTAAAATTTTTAAAAATTATTCCTTTGGTCTCATAATGATAATGAGTTATTTATTTAGAATAAAATAATATTTTAAAAATGAATAATTTATTTTAATTTTTAATATATGTTTTTTTAATTTTATCCTCTAATCTATTAAATTTTTATTATTATAATACATGATTAAGGATATTATAGTAAAAATATTATTGTCTCTCTTACTTTTTTACACTTTAATTAATATGTGTGAAATTGTGGGATGAATCACTCATGTGGAATGGGGAGTAATATTTAAGAGTATAATATATAAAATAAAATATTAATTTATTAATTTTGTAAAACGACAATTAGTTTAATATATATTATTTAAAACGTGTATAACAAAAACGGAAGAGGAAGATCGTCGAATTGATGGCCATCAACAAAAAGAATGAATGTGCTTCAACCGGAATGTTAAAGAGACTGATCCTCGGGTTTTTTGATAGCGAGAAAGTAGAGGGATCTCAAATGAGATTTTTTTTTATGATTACGACAACAATCACTAACTTTAACGTCTCTTTGGTGTTTATTGACGGTGACAGTTTATGCTACATTATGTACTCAGATCTTTTTTGAGAAAATGAAATTGAAAAAGAAGAAGTTGTGGCCATACAAGAGACCTGACCTGCAAGGCTTCAACGACACAGTAACCCGTCCTTGGGGGTATATTGATCTAATGGTCACCTTAGGAGAGGAGCGACATATCAGGATTATTGATTCTTAATTTCTGATAGTCACTTGCAAAAGCGTTTATAATTGCATCACAGGAAAATCCTTTGCAACGACCTTGGACGAGATGGAATTCCTAGTCCACCTCAAGCTGAAATACCATAATGTCTATGATGAGTCACTAACGATAAGCGTCACCGTATCTGGGGTGAAGAGGATCAACAAGGATCTACAACATGAGGAAGGAAAAGGAAAAGTTACAAAAATTAACGCGGCTTCTTTGGTTATGCAATTCGAAGACATGTCTATTATCCCCTACAAGCAAGGCATATATGCATAAGCAACCAATCAAAATGACGTCAACGCCAGCAATCACGTCTCACCTGGTTAACAAGCATTGGAAATAAAATGATTATCCATTATGTAAAAACATTCACACGGTATTGTATAATGTCATAATCACTACTACAAATAACACTTCTAACGTCAGACGCGAAAAGCGTTGTACCTCGATAATAGAAGTGAGGTAAATAATGTGGTCATGAAAAGTCTTCACTTAAAATCTTGGTTTTTCAATACCGAGGTGTATAGTTATATGCACATGGGTTCGAATCCCATGAGCCGCACTTTATTATATTCAAAACTATCATATATTTTATCTCGGTTTTCCAAAAAATCGAGGGGTTAATATTTTTTTTTAAGTTGTTATATTGTTTACACATAATATTAAATTGTTTACACAAAACATTGTTTACCCAGAATATTACCTTGTTTACCTAGAAAATAAAGATAAAAGTTAAACTCCCTAAGATGGTTTAAGATAAAAATCGAACTCCCTAGGGTGGTTCAAGATAAAAATCAACTTTCCTAGAGTGGATAAGATAAAAAACTAATTTCTTCAAGATGTAGATCTAGATCTTCGTATTATTGAATCTTGGAGAAGATCTTCTGTTACATCTTACATACAATTGTTTCTGATGAAAAAAGGTAAGGTAATTAATATTTAAGAAAACAAAAATCAAGGAATCAAATAATGAACAAATATTTAAAAAAAGAAACCTTGAACCCATGTGATTTTCTACTCTTGCAATCCATCATAGAGAACTTTTCCAAGCGTCCTTAGGTTTCAAGCACTTCATACGTTTCATTTAGGTTATATTTCCAATATTATAAGATAACTTATACAATGGATGTCCCTTAGGTTTCACGCGGATCACTAAAAAGCAGATTCTTGAGCATTGATAACTTGTAAATGGACGAAATATATTTGTTTAAGGCCGTTGAGAACAGTGAAAAATAACACTTAACTATCATCTCGGTTTTAGAATATTGTATTGACTAGCTAAACTAAAATAATATCGTCTTTGAATACAAACTCATCAAAGGTGTTTCTATGTCTTCCTCTTCTGTAAAATTACGATCTGGACCATTTTGTGAGTGTGATGATCGTATGATTTCGTACCAATGCAAGACGAGACAAAATAAAGGAAGGTTTTTTTGGAGATGTTCATTTTGGAGGAGTGAAGAGACATTTAATTTGTTCATATGGGATGAAGACATGGTAGAAAAAGGTGGAAATGAAGATGAGAGCATTATGAAGTCAGAGTTAGAAGTTATGGGCTATTTAAAGGTTATGTATAAAGATTCAAAGAAGAAGAACAAGAATCTAAAGAACAAATTGAAATCAGAAAAATTTATGGAAATTTGAAGTTGTTATATTTTTGTTATCTCCTTTATGTTTAATATTTATTTTGTTATGAAATGTAATTGATGAGGTATGGTTTGAATTGCATTGTTAATATTATGTAGAAACTGTAGATGCAATGAAATCTTTGTATTGACCTTGTTTGTTAATGAAATGTTGGTTTTGAAATTAAATATCATCTCGATTTTGGAATAAAACCGAGGGGTTAGATTAATTTTTTTTAAATGGTCACATTATTTACCCAGAATATTAAAAATACAGCATGTCCAGGTCCCATACAAGATGCAAGAGATTCAAGATTGGTTGTTGTGCTATCATTATCATTACATCCAAGATTGATGGTTGCACTATCATTATCACTTCCTTCACTAGCGTAGACAATGTGTTTGAATTCTTCCAACTTTTAATAAGGTGTCTGTTGAAAAGATTGGAAAATGTTTTTTCTGCACTTGCAATCTGTCGCTAACGACAAATATATCATAGTTTTGCTCAGGTAGAAGAACATTTTTTCAATTTTGCAATCCAAAAAAATGGTAGAGTGGCTACAAATAAGATAACATTAGGGTTAAATTTGTTCAACGAGTGTTTATAGTAAAAATCAGATTATTTATCCCTCGATTTATTAAATAAACCGAAGGCTTAGATAATTTATTTTACGCTTTTTTACTAGTAGAAACATAAAGTGCAGTAGTGTGAATTTGAAGCATGTCTGAAATGGTATGTCACCTCGACTTTCTAAATAAACGAGAGATCAAGTTGTTTTTTTTATAAAATAAATAAATATATGGAGTGCTTTGGTATGAAACCTCAATTTTTTCCTAGATGACGTGAAAATTTTGTCATGAAAAGCATTATTTGTTGTAGTGAATAACGTTTCGTCAAAGAATAAATAAATTTCCACAAATATCTTTTTTTCGTATGATTATGAAAGGTAATGATGAGTTTGGAAAATGAAAAAAGCGATCAAATCCCCAATACAAAGACTCAAGGACGCTATCATAAACGACACAGGCTTTTCATCGTCAATGATTTAGTCAAGACGAACATGCTTGTAAGATAGGCTCAGTGGGATAAAAATATTCAACATGCTTCAAGGAAATTTCAAAAGAGTCTTGGGCGATTGAGTAACTTTCCTCCAACAATTTGGCTAACTCTTTAGACAAAAACAAGGTTCTTCTGACTATCTTGAGACAATTTCAAAGAATTTTTGAGCTCTTCTACCCTTTTCCGAGCAAGTTTTAAGGATTGGTTTGCTTCGTCAAGAGTGGCATCCACCTTAGATAAAGATGTTTGAGTTGAAGCCAAAGCCTTATTCTTCTCTGTCACTTTTCGAACAAGCAGTTCCAACTTTTCAACCAGAGTATCGAAATATTCAAAGGGCTCCACAATGGCCTCTATAGCCAGAAACAAGTCAAAAGCTTCTCGAATTTCTTACAAACATCGATTTCACTAAACAATGAGGGTATCAACCCATTCTCTGAGCATCTCCATCTCTTGTCGAACATGGTCAGACTAAACGACATCCAACGTCTGGCAACCCCAAAGGCCAAGATTGCAAACGCATATTAGATGTGATAGGTCGGCTTTTCAAATTCTCCCTAACAAGCATCTTTGGGCTTATTTGAGAAGTGGGAGTATCTTCATCATAGATGAAAGAGCGAAACTCTTTAGTCGTGTTCTTGGGTCAGGACGAGCTAGTAGTGCATAAGGCAACCCTATGAAAACCAAAGTGTGCTTCTCAACGGATCTAAGTTAGTGACGCTTGTTAAGTGGCCTCTCAATCCAAAGTTCTTTAAGGTTAGGGTTGGAATTCGGACATCCCCCAGCCTCCGTTGTAATGGAGGTGAAACATCATTTATCATAATCTAGTTAAGGGAAACTCGAACTTCCACTTGTACTAAGGAAGGAGTAATCCAATGGGTCGACCCATACATATTCCCAAAGTAGAAGCTCCCTTAAAAGACAAAGTATTTGGAATTCCCTCTATGAAAGAGATAACTCAAAAATCCTTTTTCAACTGCCGCATTGCTTTCTCACTTTTCATCGTATGTGCATAACTTATAAGGAAAATGTTGAGGAAAAGATTGTTTAGTCAAGCATTCAAGAGGAGTGAGATTTCTATGTCACTTATCAAAAATAACATTTCTCCCCTCCTTAGTTATAGAACCAGCCAACAGGTCTCAATGAAATTTTTTAGCTTCTTCCTAAACGTCGCTTCAAAAGGAACGACATTTTCGACATAATTGAGCTCATTGTAGAAGGATACCAATTATCTCTTCACAAATAACTCTTCTTGGGACATGTCCTCCTTTATGTAATTATAAGACCAAGTCCCGTCAAGAAACGACTCTAACACCAAAATTTGTGAAAAAATCTATAAACATACGTGGAGGCCCAGGTCCTAGTTTACATATCTTTGCATGAGTCCCCTTAGTAAGAAAAGTAACTAAAAAGAAGCACTCCTTGAAATATTTCAAGCTGTCAAAATAGGTTTTGAAGAATTTGGAGTTGTGCCTCAAAGAAATCATATATAAGCCACATGTGTGATTAGTCGTATTGTTTAGGGTCTTAAAGAGATGGAAAAACAATGTCACGCCTGACTTACCCCCTTATATTCACACCAATGTTGAAAAACCTTGAGAAATGCCCAACTCAACAGATGCAGTTGCAAATGGACGATCATCAAACGATTCATAACATTGATCTCAAAGTCATTGAATGGAAATGGAAATCCTATGAACGAGAATAAGCATATGTTGTATGGGCTTCATACCTTTTTATTTCCATATAAGGGGGACACTCCCTAGTCAGACAAAGAACCTACACCAACTGAAGCATTACTTAAGCCACCCTCGCAGACGAAATCAGAGATTATCCTCAAAATTTCCTAGTCCTCCCAATCAGCTAAGATATATTTCTTTGTCTTTCTGGTCATAGTTGGCATGAGCTCCATAATCAAAAGCACTACGAAGAAGAGCTAGGTACAAACAAGATAGGATAAGCAAGCAAGATCACACACAAAATACTCCTATCAAAGAGTGCCAACACTAGAAGAAATCTCTCGAATACAAAAATAGATATATTAAAAACTCACTACATAAGAAACCCTAGAAAATGAGACTAAAGCAAGAAAAAGACGTTGGCTTTATCTAAAATAAAATGGATCAATCGACCACGCATGAAAAGAGCTAACAAACGAAGATCTTGTATGAATTTGACCAAAGTCAAAATAGAGAAACTAATAAGAGAAAATTAAAATAAAGACAAAAAGAATTTCTTTTACATATCACTAATGATATAAAGAAAGAAAAAAAAAAGCAAAATGGCACTTCACATACCGCTTATAAAGAAACTCATTCAATAAAGATCATAGGATCCATTATGTACCAACAACGATTAAAATTTCATCAAAAATTGTTCAAAGTAGCGTGGGGGGCATTTATTGCTAACAAAATGTTATCTATTACGAGAAAGACATTGAATGTGATTATCTCTGATGATAGCGACATCCCATCAAATCTAGCGGTCAAGTTAGAGCACATTTGGCAAACTCTTGACCTGCAAAGTAGAGACAAGAGCTTAAGAGCAACTATTATGAACTATCCGCAATTGTACCTTTTCTTTCTTGGAATAAATGATCCCATCCACTAGAACTTCAATGATAGTCCAGATTAATTTAATGGTTAATTGTGGTTCATACCTCACTTCACGCTATACCATTGTTAATCGTCTCTTCTATTTAGAGAGAAAGACGTGTCATTTGCATTCAAATTCACTTTCACTCACACCTTTTTTTTTCACTCTCTTACTAAGTCATACTCCTCCACCGGATTGAAAATTCAAATTCAAGACCACCAAAACAAACTCTACTTCTTTATTCACCAATAAGCCCAGGTTCCATAGAGAATAAAACTAAATTAATTCAATTGGAACAAAACTAAATTAATTCAAGAAATATTGCATTAGACCATGTAAACAGGTTGTTATAACTACTCATGATGCTCATCATTATTTAATACTACATGAAAGGAATAATAATTAAAAAAAATCATACGAATAATGGGATTACATCTCAATCATAAAATTCGATCTCCTGTTTCTCTTAAAATAATTTGATCCTTCGCTTTGATGGTAGAAAATTAACAAATATCGAAAGAATTTAATAAAGGAAACCCATTTATGAAGTTTCTACACACTTGACGGTGCAACTACAAACTAAAGTGAAAGTCACTATCAACAAGTTCAGCACACAACTCATCGTTCTTTACACGCAACCGGAAATTCACAAACAATCACCCTGAATTACTACGATAATTATTTACATTGCAGAAACCTCAAATTCACAATAAAATGACAAAAAAAAGTTGTAAGATGTCAAATCTGATGTTATAGAAAAAGAACACCCAAAGGATGGCTAATGTGATTGAATTTGAATCCTCCTATGTTGAGATGAAACAAAAGGAAGGTTATGGAGGATCAGAAAACGAACCCGTCGAGGGACAGGTGCAGTACGGAATACATGCTCCACCACCCTTGCTAACAACGCCGTGTACTCCTCCAGCACCTCCGCCACAATCGCCACCAGTATCATATTTCTCGATTTCTCTTCGCTCGCACTGAAAATGAATCCGGATGGGTTATTCTGTCTGTGTTTGAGTTTTTATTTATAGAGAGACCGTGGGTGACCTGTGAAACTGGTAATATTTGGCGGTTTAAATTGAATATTTCTACAGCGGCGCCACAGTTATTGGAAAGTGAGGAATCGGTTTCCGGTATTAGGTTTTCAGTTTTCAGTGTGCTGTGACTTTAGTTGTTGTGGTTCCCGATCTTATCCTCTTCCATAAATTTATTTATTTATTCATCGTTTTGCGGATAGTTTTTTTAACGTCATTTTCAATTCGTATAAAGAAAGATAAACAGTCATGTGATGAAGATGGTATGGCATGATACCATTGGGAGTTGTGCCACCTTAACATTTGAAGCTAAATTCTCCTTAAAAACAAATCATATATGTAGGTGGAGAATCTTTGAAAATTACTACTCTCACGGTTATTTTTTAATTATCATTTTTTGATTTTTTACATTTACTAAAAAAACTTATAATTGTTGTTATTTTTTATATTATGATTTTTCTTTTTCTATAATATTCTTAATTTTTAATTATTTTGATATATTTTTTTATCTCTCTCTAATAAAAGTTAGAAGTAATTTTGATAAAATTATAATTATTATTACATTGAATTTTGTAAGTAACAATTAAAAAAATATAAAATTTTCTAAATGTGAGAATTAAAAAGAAATGGAGAGAATATTACTTTTAATTGTTTCTTTAATGATATTTTTTAATTAGTATTATAAATATTTCTATATTTAGTTTAGATTTATGAATATAGAAATAATTACTAATAGTTAAAAATGGATGATATGCTAAATATTTTTTTACTTGAATGTACTATTGATTTTCTAGTTTAATGTTTTTGAATTTTTAGTCATTCCATTTAAAAAATTAGTTTTTTGTCCGTAAATTTTACATTATTTAAGATTTGATTGACCATCTTCAATTTGCATATATGTTATTTGCATATATGTTATTTATTGATGATTAGAATTTTTTTTTAATGATTAGCATTAATGGATGGGATAATTTATTATTTATTATTTTCTTATAAAATTAATTAATAATTAATAATTTTTTATTTATTTTTTTAAATTTTAAATCATTAAAATTGTAAAATTAAAATTCTGGACCTAAGTCCATCTAATTGGACCAATAACCTAATATTCAATTCACAAGTCTATGTTGGAGTAGCTTCTATAAACACTCAAATTAGTTGCAATTAAAATAATGTAAGACTTACAAGTTAGAATGGAGTTTTTTTTCAGCTAACTTGCAATGGAGTCTCTCTCCTCTCGTCAATCACAACAACAATAACAACCATCACCATCTCGTCCCGGATCAGTACTGATGTATATAGATGGAATAAATCCAATAAATTTAATAAAACTCACTCAAATCAATTTAAAAAATAAGTTGAATTATGTTATTGGATGAATACAATTTTTAAAAATAAAAATTCATTTAAAATAATTGAGTTAAGGATAAATTCATATTCAATCCACAAAATTCATAAATTATTTAATAACTATTTTTTTTTTGTTTTTTTTTTAATTTGATGAGTGACGATTTTGATATCTTTAATCTTAATTGTTTTAATTATAATATTTTATATGTAAGTAACTAATAATAGATATGTGCGTTCGTACTGTCGCACAAAGTTAATATAAATATTAAATACATATATTTTATCTATCTATTATTAATCTATTAAAAGTAAAGTACCTGTAAATTCCAAATCTAACATTTTGATTAGATGTTATAATTTTTCTTATTCCAAGGGTATAATAGACTAATCAACACTATGCTGTTACCATATTCATTTGACATTAAATATGGTTGATGTGGCACATCAAGAAATTTTGTTACATTTTATATTATTTTTATTCCAGTAATTACTTGAACGTTTCTGTTGCAACATTTATACTGACAGTGGAGTTTAAACAGCCAGCATAAGTATTTTGTTTTTGAAATGATAAACTCACGATTTACAACTCAAAAATTCTTTTCCCAAGATGCAAAAAGCCCTACATTTTTCGTTTCTCTTAACCTAGCAACTTATCATATTTCCCTTTCATTTCTTTCATTCTCTGCACAATTCATTTCTAATCACGCGTTCTTCTTTCACTTTATTCATTCATCACTATAACTTAATTTTCTTTCATTTATCGATCCTTCTCAACGCAGATAATTTTTCAATTTCTATTTCTATATTCTCAAGAAGGGAGAGAGAAGCAGGAATCAAACCAGACCCTGAGGTTGATGCTTTCATGAAGGCTATCGCATCATCAGGCCAAAAAACAAGTTTTGAAACTGATTATGTTCTCAAGGTTTGTACTTCTGATTCTATCATGATGTTTATGGTTTCAATTTTGTAGTTGAAAAGAGATGAAAGTTTGATGTTTTGTTGTTAAAAAGAGATGAAATCCCGATGTTTTGTTGTTTCGATTGTGTTATTGAAAAAGAGATGTAAGTGAAATTTATGAACATCAAATTAATTACTGTAAAATAGCCTACTAACTGTTCGATGAAATGTCTGTGTTGTTGTAGGGGTTTCAAATTTCCAGGAAATGAAGAAAATAATTATGACTTTACATGGAGTTATGAGAAGCAATATATTGAGAAATATATTGTGAAGCTTTAGATCTAACAATCTGGTACATTTAGTTTTTCGATATGCATTTTTGATGATTCTCCGATACTAATTTATGCGATGAAATTATATTCTTATTATTTCCCTATGTTTTTCTGTTATTGGAGTTATTAAGCTACTTTGCGGTTTTATATTTGGCTTGGAATGAGTTTTATCGTCAATAGTGAGGATAAATAATTTCATTCATGCTATTTTTTGCTGCAGATATTTAAATTTTACTGAAAAATGCTGGTATCTTTTCGGGTAAGCATGGTTATTGGTGATAGGGGTCTACTTACGTTTATACATGGAGCATGCACTATCACTTCTTGGTTTGTATTCTTTAAAAAAAATTATTGTTTTTGGTTCAAGATATAGAATGGTAAAAGTAATTGAGGTTCTGCATATGTTGCTCATGTTTAACCCTACATATTGCTTAACTTAGTATGAGAGAAGATTTGGCTTAGATACCACTAACAATGCTAAGAAATAGATGATTAAATATTTAAATGAAAGAATTAGCATGTGATACATAAATTCTTTTGTAGGTTGTCGATAATGGAAGTGGGTATTTCTTTGGAGAAGAAGAGCCAAACGTGCTATGGATTATTGTTTTGATTTTCTGATCAAGTTGCAACTTTTGAGATGGTGAAAAGATTGTTGTTTTACCGTCGCACATCAAGTGTTCGATGAAATGCCCCAGCTGGATTTCTTCTTCTTCTTTCTTTTGGTAATGTGATCTCAAGAGTTCAATTCCCTAAAACTCTTCACAAAAAACCTTTTTATTCATCATCATCAAAATCTCTTACAATTTTGCTTTTCATGGAACCCTTTTTAAGTGTGATATTTTTGAAGCATACATCATATTTGTTTTCTTACATGATAACTGTTGTTGCATTTTGCAGCATTATAGATTGTTCCAGTTCAAGAAGTTTCGTTCTTTGTTGTCAGGAAAAGAAAAGTCAGGTCAACTGACTCAATACTTATTTTCATGATGTATCCAAATGCCTTATTGATAGTTATCCTCATGTTGCATCATCACGATTCATACCAGAAGACCTTTGAGATGTATAATGCCCACATTCATCTTGAAAAATGATTTCAAACCAAGGTATTTTTTTATTCAGAAAGATTGAAACAATACATGATATGCCTCTAAATCTAAATACAACTATTTATTTGTATGAGATAGAATCCACGAGTATTATATATTTATGTTTATTTTAATTTTGAAAATTGCATTGCATTGCAGAGTTATTTGAAATTTGAGCAACCTTCTAAAATGTTAGCCCGGGTTATAATTCTATACGAGTGAATAAATATCCTTCTGCAGTTCTGGAGAAACAAAGGTTTACTAGAAAATTTCCTATGTGTAAAGCTGGTATCATTGACATACAGTGCTAT